TTAGGGAAGAATTTTATCCAATTTTCTATTTTATCTCTAATAAAAAATATGAAGTGTGTGTGTGTGTGTGTGTGTGTGTGTGTGTGTGTGTGTGTGTGTGTGTGTGTGTGTGTGTGTGTGTGTGTGTGTGTGTGTGTGTGTGTGTGCGTGTGTGTGTGTGTGTGTGTGTGTGTGTGTGTGTGTGTGTGTGTGTAAACAGAGGTTTAATCATTCTAACACAGATGCAGCACCATACTTTTAGAGTAGATTTTGATGCCATGATATCTGGAGGCAGATACCATAGGTGTCTCACATTGGACCCATCAGGCACCCGTAGAAGGTGAAATATCCTGATTGGCCACACACTCCTTAAAAAAGTGTCTAAAACTACAGACATCAAAGAGGAGCAGACTCCATGTTGGTTTTGTGGGCGTAGTGCTGAAGACATAGGCCCAGTCTCAGTACTCGCACTGGCTCCGTTCAATTGCGCGTTCCTGGTGTAGAGTTAAATCTGCACACTGAAATCGCCTCTGTTGTTATTCAGTGGAGATTCCGAAAAATGACCAATCAGATTAACCTATGAGGCTAAGGCCTAGTCCACACGTAGCCGGTTTTTAAAAAAACGAATATCCGCCCCTCCAAAAACTTGCATCCACACCACCTCATTTAAAAAAAAACTCTGTCCACACGTACCCGGATAAATACGTTGTTAAGGACATGCCAGACCTGTAGGCGGCAGTACTTCCCCGTTATTAACCTCGTCCTTCGTCTGTGGTCTTCTGCAAGGAGCAGTAATTCCGCTTGCAAAAACAAACAAGCAAAAAGCGCTTGGACAATTGATAAAGCGAGCGCAGCTCTGAGGGCATCCATGCTGTCGGCTAGTGTAAACACAGGTCGCACACGTGATGTCAGCATTTTTTTGTCGCGGAAAGTGACGTTGCAGACCTTAAAACTCCGGTTTTGTCTGTCCACACGCAGACACCCAAAACGGAGAAAACGCAGATCTTCACTTTGGCCGGAGTTTTTAAAAAGATCCGTTTTCATGTGAAAAAACTCAATTTTCGTGTGGATGACAGGCCAAAACGTAGAAAAATATCTAAGTTTTGGCAGATCCCCTTCTACGTGTGGACAGGGCCTTAGATCATATATAAATATCCCGGATACTTGTATCGATCTAAGTTCATACATCAACCTGTTTGATCTAATTTTAATCCAGAGATTAATGTTTAATTTAGATAATTAAATTTAATAGCAAAAGTTATTTTACATCAGAAACTAGGATCTTTACTTTCAAATAACCAGAAATGTTATACCTTTTCTGTGTTCCGTTTCAATAAGGAGGCAAGTTTAAAAATGAAGAAATTTTATTACTAACAATTTCAAACTTAGAGATTTGAAATGACAATTTAATGACAATTTTCAACAGCTTTGATATTAAACTTGTTTTAAAAGCAAACCTGTGCCTGAATGGAAGCTAAATGGAAAATACGAGTTTGGATGCGTGGATGAAGTTATGAGAAGGTTTCTTTCCCCAGAGAGTTGGAAGCGGTCTGGATGAAGATGATGTTTTGAGGCTAACTGAGTTATTTAGAGAGAAAACAGCATCAGACGCAATCTGTCCAAGTCTACCTCACCCATATAGAAGACCCTCCTTCGGATCTGAAGTGTCCAGGTGGAGATGGTTTCCTCCAGGCACGAGGTTGGTAGAAGAACCTTTATGCGACCAAATCAGTCCTGAGATGTCTCCTTGGGTCACTCGACTGGTGTAACGATTTGCGTCTCAAGATCCGTAACTCTGAAGGAGTTTTTCGTCTTTTAACTCAACTCAGAAATCAATGACTCTGGGTAGAGTCTTCATTAGCTGGTTACAGTCGTTTATTCTTTGGCTATTCCAGTCGGCGTGACTGAACAGCAGGTGGAGATTCAGGGACGGCCGTTCCCCTTTCTCCGTGGCGTTGGTTCAATAACTGGTTCTGAAGCTGGGGATGGTTAGTTTTACCAAGCTCCAGGACACTCCCACTCTCTCAGGAAGAAAGCTTTGATCCTGCGTCAAAAACATGTGTGAAGTTATGTTTATCTGGACTCTGTGTTAGCTGGATAAGGTGAACTGACCTTCTGCTGAACACATCTTTTACTGTCATCATAATCATTATTATAATTATTATTAATCATTATTATACCCAAAGCATAATAGTCCATTTCATATAATCAAAATACCTTTATACTGAACCAAGTGATCACTTATGAGATTATGTTAAACAGTAATAAAATCAATGAGTTTCATTAATTATTATTTAATTATTATCATGTGACTTGAAGTGTCCTCTTCCTGGGATGGAACAGCAGCAGATATGGTGATATGATCTTGCAGACATCGTGGCTCCTTGGGTTAATCTGTGGATATAAAAGTGCTGTTTGACCCAGCCTGACCCAGCTGGGTAGATGTGACCTTTGCCACAAATCAGAGGACCTTCCATGATGCTACACTGGCCAGGGGTGCGAGTGCGTAGGTTGTCCCGATTCTCAAGTGCAGAAATTGACCACGCCCCCATTGCACCCTTAATCTGCACTTCACCCAAGGCTGCAGCGATGTGGACCTCAAGCAAGGGAATTACCCACAAGTCATTGCTGCAGGAGAAAAGAATCAAGTTCTTTTTCTGAAAATATGTCATTTCTAATGAAATTAGATCATTTTAGGACGATTAGTTTGTGCTCTGAATGTTTTCGACAAAGCATTAAATTTATTTCAAATAATTGCTTTATTGTTTGTTTTAAAGTTGTTAATAGAGGTTTTTGAAAAAAGTTTCACAGCGACCAGCATCCCGACATGCGTTGCGATCGATGATGCAATGCTCCCTGTCGCAATTCTACAACTATTTGCAACTTGTGTACTACGCACTCGAACCCCACTGCGCACTTTCTCCAAGTGCACTTTGCTGAAGTCCGCAGGGCGCAGTGCGAGTATTTAGATTGGGCCTTAAACAGGAAGCAGTTTTCTGAATGGAGGAAGTTCAACCATCTTTGGTGAATTGGTTTATGTGTGACATTGGAGTTTAGGCGAGTTTTACTAATTGTGACTACAGACACCAAACAAACAACATGTAGACATATAAATAAGACTTACAACATCTAAATAATAATTGAAGCTAGAATAACAGAATCAAGTTTTATTTTTATGTTTTTTGTTTCATAAATAACTTTGGAGGTGTAAGTTTTTAACGTTGTTTTCATTAAAAAATCAAGTGTGTTGTTTACAAAGGAGTTAAGCTGCTAACAGAACCGGGTCAGACTATAACAGAACCGGATTCACAATAGGGCTTGTGATTGTGAAGTCATCACCAACGCAGCCGTCCCATTGGAGGCATGTGAGTCCTTACTTGATGCATATTACTACTGTAAAAAACATGCTCAGGCTCGTTCTTGCGGCTTAAATCAATTTACTATTCAGTTGATTACACAACTCTAGTAAATGGTTGCTGTGCTTTGCAACACTCCTGGGTGACGGAGAAGTCTGAAGGCAAAATGTCTCCGTCAATGCGCGTGCGCCTCTCCCTCGTGGAGCTAACGGAGAGGCATAAATTAGGCTAACCTGAAACCGGACCCCATCTGTTGTGAATGAGGCTTTAAACAGGACATTAGTCTAGTTGGGGTTCTCCTTCACCTTTCCTCTTCAGACATGATCTATTATGACTGTAGTAAGTATTCTGTAGATGAATGTGCACCGTGTGGTACTGTCTAAATCCTACCATGACCTGAATTTGAACCTGTTGATGATAGTTTAGTTAAACATGTTCTCAACAAGTTTAGCCTTCAGTACTGAATTAGCTCTGTGGTTGTTACTGTCGCCCTTGTATCACCTCCAACCCGTGTGTGTGTGTGTGTGTGTGTGTGTGTGTGTGTGTGTGTGTGTGTGTCTACAAGTCTGTAAATGTCTCTTCACCACGTCACCGGCTGCACTGGCAGGCTCCCTGTCTCCAAAACATGCTTACTCATTTCCAGTTTGCTAAATGTTGCCACATTTTCCTGACACGTTTTTATTATGAATCACAAAGTTTATGAAGCACTCACAATTTTAGACCAGTTTTATTTATTTGCACAAGCAAGTTTATAAATAAGGCCCCTCGTTTAAAAAGACTTAAAGATGTTTTACAAGAATAAATATTAAAGCTAATATTGGCTGAAAAGACAGCTGCAGGAACAAAGTAAGACCATCCTAGTTTTGAAACACTTGGCATAGCAATCCAAGTGTGCAGGGCCGGATTATCATTGCAGGGGCCCCTGTCTCCTGTCTCCTGTTGTTGGTCTCCTCTCTTGCTTTCAGAAAAACTGCTTTCTGGCCTTTCTATTAGTAAATTAATTTACAATGTCATCAAAGTCCAGATTCCTGACAAGCTGAGATTCAATGGCCACCAGTGACAGTGCACTGAGGCGCTGTTGAGTTAGTCTTGTTCTCAGTTCATTTTTTATTCTTGCCATTTGTGAAAATGATCGTTCCCCTTCACAATTTGTAACTGGTAGAGTTAGAAAAATCCGCAGGGCCACAAACACATTAGGGAAGATGGACCGTAGATTATTTTTTAGCCCGAAAACGATCCTGGTACTGCTTATATTAAATTATCTATGTGGACTCTCTAGGGATTATTTTGAGCGGAGAGGTGCAAAGCTCTGATCATTGATGCGCTCCAGACAGATGCGTCCTGAGCACGGCCGCAGTAACATTATCAAAGTGTCGTCACCTCAAAAACAAATTTAACACACAATCGTTTATGTCGGCTCATATCTTTCATGTTTTCTGTCTTTTATTTGTGCCTGATGCGTTTCGCTGCTGCGGAGCGACCGCATCACCTGTTTCATCCTCCGGTGACTTCACCGCACTGGTGTGGCCGGCGCGCAGCGCGCACTCTGCCAGTTTTGCAGTTGGTAGATCTTTTAGAACTGCAGTTAAAAGGTAACTCATATATATATATATATATATATATATATATATATATATATATATATATATATATATATATAAGCCAGGTAGCAGTTTTTCTTTAGGATTGAGAGGAGGTGCAGGAAGATAATAAACAGACAGGACAGAAAAATAGTCAAATAAAAAACAAGTTAGTTTTTGTACCTGGTAGCAACAAACAGACACCATTGAAGGTAATCAGAAGTGAGGAACAGAAAATGAAATAATTCTTTCAATATTTAGAGCAGCAGGAACTCTGAGAGGCTGCAGGCGCATCGGTGAGTTTGCCGCCACTGCGCAGGGGGAGGGGGGAGAGGGCTGAAGCAGGCAGTAAAGATGCAAAAACTACCGTTGTTAAGAGAAATGTGTGTTAACTTGGAAAATGCAGGCACAGGTTTAATTGTTAACTTTTTTCTCTAACGTTAAGACTGCTGCACACACACAAAAAAAAAGACTGCTGCTCGCGTGGGCCCCCTTGGGGCTGTGGGCCCCTGGGCCTGTGCCCAGTTTGCCCATATTATAATTGGGCCTTGCAGCTGTGTAGATCCCATCACCCACCCCTGGTGTTACTCTGAAGCATGAGATCATTTTCAGAGAAAAGCTGACATCCTACATGAATAAGCACGCCGTTGGTGTTTCACTTTCATCCATGAGCTGCTTGGTTTGGACCACAGCCGTCCAGTCCTCGTTCTTGAGGGTCACTGCCTGCACAGATTCTACATTTCCCTGCAACCACACCTGGTTTGAGCAAATGGGTGTTTAATATGTCTGAAGATGTTGAGGACTTTCCGAGAAGGTGATTCTTCTATTGAAAAAGGGGTGTTGGAGTAGGGAAACAGCTGAAACATGCAGGGGGGTGGCCCTCAAGGACCAGGATGAAACAGACTTGGTGTAGATGGTCCTCTGACATCTACACCAAGTCTGTTGGAGTTGAACTCAAAAAATGTCCATTCAACTATACAGTATATGACCCATGTGATGAGGATCATCCTGAGTCAACCTCAACGTGAATCAGGAAGAAGTTCAGCTCCAAAGAACACCTCATGTTCATTTCTCACGATGCGTTTTGGCTGTTCCGATTCTACCTTCAGTACGCTGTCCTTATCCAGGTGGAACAAGCCGCTTGTAAACAGAGACTTCCTCCAGCCCTGGGCGCAAATCACTGTGTCAACTGCTGACAGGAGCGGTTGGTAATCCGGGTAGCTGTCGTGGAAGTAGGAAACAGAGTGGGAGAGTTTTAACGTCTCTCTGTTTTTACAGTCTGTATCCGCGTCACCACCCTGATCCCCGTAGGTGATCTGCAGAAAGACTCTGTAATAGCCGGCTCTGGGCACCACCAGGTGTCCATCGGTGTAGTTGAAGCCTCCTTTGCAGAAAGCGTTTCCCATGTTGCTCTCCCACTGCAGCTGTTTATTAGAAATGTCTGGAATCTCTGGGGCTGAGAGAAAGAAGACAATAATAGGATCAACGTTGGAAACTTCAACGTCACAAAACATTTCCTACAAAACTCTGAACCAACTGTTCTCTAACGGTCGGACTCAGCTGCTCTGGTTGATTCAGTTTGAGCAAACGCAGCGCGTGGTCGCTCACCTCCTAACGAGCACCTTTAGACATGATTATTCATTTGACACTAAAGGTTTTGTCCCTGGCGTAATCAGACCAAACCAGATATGGCCAAACATAACGCTGCAGGAAGTGAAATCACCATCATGCTATAACATCTGACAAATAATCCTGAGTTCAGAAGAAAACAAGAGTGAGTGATCCTTTCAGCTTGTTTCTGATCAGGAGTAAGCAGTCCTACTACCTGTCAGCATGGCTCGTGGGGTCTCTTTGACTCCTCCAGGAGCAGAACTCACTTGTTGCAGTTTTCCTACAAGAGTGAAACAAGATGTCAGCGTTTAGCTGGTGATTTCAGAAAACCATCACCGTTTGATCCTGATCAACAAACACTCACCCAGAGAGATGCTGTCAGGCTGAACAACAGTCTGCAATGAAACAAGACAGTCAGAAACAGAACCAAACCCCGAAAAAAGGTCCAGGCTCTGGAGGAAGATCTCACAACTAGATAGCTGACAGTAGCACCGTTGCTGCTCAGATGGATCGTGTCCACACTACAGGGCTGTCCCGGCCATCCGGCAAAGACCTATCAGGTATGTTTAATAATGAGCTGAACACAGGCCCGTGGAAACGGTCTCGCTTTTATACTGACATCATTTAAAACACGGCTTTTCTATCGCACCTTAGGCTTAAGGTTATCAGACAACTCCATCGCTTTCAGTCAAGGTGCAGCCTTGCAGCAAACTGCAGATGGTTTATAAACGCCGTCCTTTCATTTGATTTAGTATTTGCAATTCAGTAATGATAATGTAACGTGTGTGTGTGTGTGTGTGTGTGTGTGTGTGTGTGTGTGTGTGTGTGTGTGTGTGTGTGTAAGCCCATCACCTGTGTTGTTTGCTTTTTGATCAGGGCATTGTTTTACTTCTTTCCTGGTGAAAATACAAGTGAAACTGAAAGATGGAAACAGTCGATTCGAAGGGTGAATCTAATCTCTGAGACGGACTCATTCCTTGCAAAGTCACATATTTCAGGCTTTTATTTGTTATAACTGTGATGATTGTGGCTTACAGCGTATGAAACTCCCGTTGGGAGTATTAGAGCATTACATGAAACCGATGAAACATGTCATCCAAGCCAAAGGAGCCCAAACTAATTACAGAGTGCTGTTCATGCTCATACTTTTCAGTTGGTCAACATTTATAAATTCCTTTTTCTTGCATTGGTCTTAATTGATATTCTATTTTACTGAGATACTGAATTTGGGATTTTCATTAGTTGTCAGTTAAACTGTGTAAATGACCTTCAACTGATTTCAGCAGTTTTTCTTGACCTGTTGATGAGTTGTTGTGTTAAGTCGCAAAATGTATGGTAATTGGCCTGTAGCTGATATAGTGACTTTTAGAGTCCTAGAACCCCCCAAGATGCTTTACAGCAGTGTTTCCCAACTCTGGTCATCGGGCCACACTGACCTGCATGTTTTCCATGTCTCTGCTTCAGAACGCCTGATTTACATTACCTCCTCAGGAGGACATTAAGTGCTGCAGAAGCCCATTAATCACTCTTTCATTTAACCCTCTGGACGCAGGCGTTGCAGATTTGCTATGTTAAAACCCACCTACCTGGTAGGTACACACACACACACACACACACACACACACACACACACACACACACACACACACACACACACACACACACACACACACACACACACACACACACACGTCATGAGCATTTTTTTACTCAGAAGTACCCCTGAAGGACTTAGTTGTTCGTCCTTTTATCAAAACTTATTTTGAGCCTGAGAGGGTTAAGTCAGGTGTGTGGCAGCAGGGCAACACTTGTGTTTAAAATGGCAGCATGGAAAACATGCAGGACAGTGCCCTGAGGACCAAGGTTGGGAAACACAAGCCCTTTTTAATATTTTCCCCTGTCCTGTCTGGCTGTGAAGCAAGCAGAATTGATGTCTGAATGCTGGTGACAAGCCTTACAGATTAACTCTCAGGTGGAGCATCAAAGCGTCTGCTTTTAATGTCACGCCTGATACTTAAAACTTTATTGTTATTGTCTTTGAATGCTTTGTAATTCTGTCCAGACACGGAGACAGAGGTGAAAGAGAAAGGAAGAGATGGGGGTGGGGGGAGGGGGTATCCACAAAAATAAACAATAATGAACAAGAGTCTGCTTCTAGACCTGCAGAAAGAGAGAAAAAAAAAAAGAAAAAAAAATGGGACACACAATACAAGATCAAGCTATCACTGCGTCAACTTGATGAAGGATATGTAACGGAACGGAAGACTGTGTTTTTTCCCTTATTTGCTCAAGACTAGTCTGCATGAGATATAACTCAAGGTCTCATGCATTACTTCTAACCTGCTTATTTTCAGCTCAACAGAAGAACGAAGAATGAACTCTTTTCTTTTAATTAATCAAATAACTCTATTTTAATAAAGCTAATCCATCAAAGTGTTAGTCAATAAATAAGATGTGACCAACCTGTGAAATCAAAATATTAATTACCTTATTATAATCCTATAGAATATAAAGGTAATGTGACTTTAAGTGTTCCAACAGGACTCATTTCACGTAGTGTTAAAAAGACATGACACATTACGTTCACTGATCCAATCAGAATCTTACAGATCTGACGGAGGCATGGTTCTGATGGTGTTTGGTAATTTTTCATTTGACAATAAACTATAACATCCAAAGTATAAAACTATGCCACGTCAGCTCAAACGCCAGTTCAAAGCGTTCCAGAGAAAGTGATGGAGAGGCCAATCCTGATCTAAACTCTTTAACCGAAAGAACGACGACAAGCTGAAAAATCCAGTCGCTATACCAACCAGCGACAACAGTTCCTTTCAGAACAAAAGCTCAACCTTCCGGACCCAGGCTTGGTCTCACCAGACGCCAATAACTTGTGTGCCCGGAAGTAACTCAAGACGGGTTTGATCGGAACCGCGGCTTTTCCTACCGGCTCGGTTCCAGAGAGGGTCCACTGGACCTCGATATTCCTGATCTACAGAGGACTTCCCGAAGGGTAGGTAGACCGGCAAATGGTGTCTCATGTGTTTTTGAACTTCCTAACCAAAGCTTAATGCAAAAACAACATCTTCAGTTCCCATCAGAACAATCGCTACTTCGGATTTGTTGGTTCTGATTTAAAATTGCACGTCATCCATTCACCGTCCCATCCATGTACACTATATATTTAGTTTTAAAGTCAGTCTAGTTTAATTTGTTAGTAATAAATTTCTTAACTTTTAAACTTGACTCTCTCTATTCTCTGAGTGAATACATAACAGTTATCTAATCCCTGCAATAAAAAGATCCAATCTTCTGGTTTAAATAACCCTGCGATCTGTAAGGTGGATTTCATATTTCCTATGGAATCCCACGCCTTATTGCTCATTAAATAACTGTAATCTATTTCATTACAAAATATATAATCAACATTGTTTAACTGAACAATCACACGATAATAAATCACAGTGCATTTGGTGCCAACCATAGCCTTGAGACATGTGTTGAACGTGCCCAAGTCCATTCTTATGAGAGCACCATGTGAGCACCTGTGTGTGTACACGCGCTTGTATATGTAAGGTTTATCTATAGGAGCATCCAATAGAGAGTGTGAGGGGCCACAGAAGAAGAAGAAGAATCATTTCTATAGCACCTCTGCCCCCTAAAGATGTGCAGGAGACGGAGGGAGCTCCAAGTCCCAGAGATCCAGGAGCTGCCCCAGAGCACAGGAACCCCAGGGAGACTGCGACCAGAAAAGCCCCCGACCCCTCGAGAGGCGCAGAGGATCGCCCCAGGGGGCCACAACCAGCAGCCGGCAGAGTCCCGGGAGATATCGGCGGCAAGCCCACAGGCCTGTCCGCAGCCTCCCACCCCTTAGCCGGCCGAGCCCGGGACCCAGTGACCAAGGACCCAGGACCCAGCGACCCGGGACCCAGGGGTGACCACCCCCGCCGGGGACCCAGCAGAGCCCAGAGACCCAGACTCCACCAGGCAGCCACAGGGATTGGTCAGGCAGACGCCAAAAATCTTAAACTCCCTGACCCGGGAGCCACGACCCAGGCAGACCAAGGCACCGCACTCCACACCAGGTGTGGCAGGGAGAGGGAAGACGAAGATCTATATCATCAAAAGAAGTCCCAGGAGAAGGGAAGAGTCAAAGGCCCCACCTGACATATACAGTCATACACAAACACAGTCACACACTCCCTCCCTCATGCTCACACATACAAATACAACCAAAGACTTACAAAAATGCATGCCGGACACCCACTCATGCTCCCCATACACACCCTATTCACTCTGGTCCCGGTACTGCTGCACATGGGGTACAACCATTACTGGTTCCCAGAGTTCGACCCTTTCTGCTGGGGTGCTGATGAGCAGGCTCCTCCGCCCAACCCCGAGCACAGCAACCCACCACCCCAGACCCCAACCGGACGGCCGGATCTCCCTCCTAGCCCCCAGTCCCAGGACGCCAAGCAACAACAGAGGTGTGCTAAGACCCCTAGTCTCCCTCCGCCTGCTCCAATATGGTGTTAGTGAGTGCTGATGAGGTGTATTCCATGGCTGTAGTGAGCGGGCTGTGCGAGCATCGTCTAGCCTATTCCAGCTGATGCCACCAAACCTCCCCACTTGCACCCACAGCCCTCGGTGTCTAAGTGCAGTTTAAAATTGGAAGTGGGCACCGAAACTTGGGATGAGGCTGAAATATCCCCCTGCCAACTGCCGTTGAATGTGCTCACTCCCAAGGCCCTAAGTGTGTGTTTGCGTGGAATGTCACTGGTGGAAGTGTTTAAGGTGCAAATAAAATTGGGGGCAGGTTGCCACAGGAATGCGGAAATGGGGTCCATACCCGCACTCCCTGACTTGCCCACCCCCCAAGGTCCTATGTGCATGTTTGTGTGATGATGTGAGGGAGCAGGAGGAGAGAAATGTGTGGGGATGGGGAGGAATGGCTGGTTGGGCTTAGTCCTCCAGGGAGCCAGCTCCCCCACTGGCCCCAATAGGCACCTCTGTTGTCAAAATGCCACCCAGGGCATGGAGACCCCAGCCCATCCTGCCAGGGCCCAAAGAAGCAGCATCACAGAGCCTCACGGAGTCCAAGGGCACCAACCCAGCCCCACCCCAGCAGAATATCTACACCCATCCCTGCATTTGCACAACTTCCAGATTATATAAGACATGGCATCCTGGTAAGGTTGGATCCTCCCCCTCCTGGACTTCCCCCTCCCCTGTGATGGAACAGCAGAGGAGCCAAGGTCTACCTGAGGCCCCTGAACCTGAACCAGGCACTGCTGCATGTTCCTGCCTTCTTCCCGGCAGCATACATGTCAGGACCCGACCCCCAAGGCCCCGCCCAGATCCCCACACGGGGCAGGCCACCCCCACACCCCGAGCCCCCAGGCCCCCACTCAGACCCACCCAGGGGCAATGCAGCTGCTGGGCAGTGACCCATGGCTGCCGCCAAGACCTCCAAGGGGCCCCACTCACAACCGCCAGTAGTCCACCCCCCGAGGCAACCCAAGCACCTCCAGAGGGGGGCGACAGCTGACAAATGGAGCCGGAGTTCGACTCTCTGCTGCTGAGTGAGAACTGCCTATCGCACTGCCTAAACACAGCATGACATCTTATGCCGTCTCTTTCTTGTTTACGCTGCAGCGTCTTCTATTCAGGCATCACGCAGCAGCACATTTACTGAGCTACAATCTCAGCATCTAGAACCAGGTGAGTAAGTTACTTGTTAGGCTATTTGTAATCAGCAGTAGAAACGGACTTTTTCAAATTAAACGGCTTATCACATATGATATGCAAAATTAATTTATTTAAATCCACACCAGACACTTGTTTTTGGCACAATGAGTGCAGCATTGATTTAGCATTGAGAATATTAAATAATCTGAGCATACACATCTGATTGTCTCCTTAAGATGTTATTGTCAATTAGGCTGTAATTTTGTAAAAAAGCATGGACATTAGTTTTTGTGACATAGTGAGTCATCTTCAGGGCATAAAGGTTTATGCCCTGCAGAAGGTGGTACCAAAACGCGTCGGTGTTTCCTTGTTTAATAAATGAAATCCTCAGAGTGCCTCAGATCACCGGTTCTTCTTCCTCATATTCTACGATTTATTTGATGCTGAAGAGCACCTGAGAGTGAGACATAAGTCTTTTCAAATATTCCCTATGGATGCGCTCACTTCCACCTATTTTTGATCATTTTATTCATGTTTTCATAGAACAGATTAAAAAAGATCAATAAAATAAAAAGTCCAGTAACATTAAAAATAATGAAAAGCATCACTGCACATGACCGAGGAATACTGAACGTGAAAGTGGCGCTGTTCTTAATTCATGCATCAGAGGGTTAAGTTGCTATGTGTGTGTGTGTCTCTCTCTCTCTCTTTCTCTGTGTGTGTGTGTGTGTGTGTGTGTGTGTGTGTGTGTGTGTGTGTGTGTGTGTGTGTGTGTGTGTGTGTGTGTGTGTGTGTGTGTGTGTGTGTGTGTGTTTATTTTCTCACAGAAGAACCCAACACCAGCAGACTCAGTGCTCAATCCAACAGCCTGAAGAGACATCATCATCAGCTTCAACAGATGTCTGTGAACATGTAGCTGCTGGCCCCATGGATCCTGCTGACTGGCCACAGCAGTTGAACAAAATGGAAAGTAGAACTTTCTTTATGATGACACTGATATTTGAGTTTTGCTTTTGATTTTGCCCCCCCCCCCCCCCCCCCCCCACACACACACACACACACACACACTGACATTTGCACAACATTTTGAGTTGTTGGTTATTGTAATATTCTCAGGTTACTTATCTTTCAAGCTTACATTTATTCTTCAGGCTGTTGACTTCAAAGAGTTGCTGTGTGAATATTTAAAATAAAAAATTAGTAACTAAGGAATAACTGTGGAGTTGCTTTTTCCAATGTGTGGTGGGTGGGTGGACTTGGGTTTGGGTGAGAGGCATGCAGGCACGGGGGGGGGGGGGGGGGGGGGGGGGCAAATGGGCACCCTCACCTTGGGCACCAAATTACCTAGAGCCGGCCCTGCTTTGATGCTCCACCTGAGAGTAAATCAGTAAGGCTTGTTAACAGCATTCGGACATCAATTCTGTTTGCTTCACAGCCAGACAGGACATGGTTAAAATAAATAAATAAATACGTTGTGACAACGTTGTTGCAACGGACCTGTGTTACCCCAAAATTCCACTATCTCCGCTCCGCTCCGGCAAGAACTCCACAGCAAAATCGGTCCCGTTGTAGTCAATCAGAGCTGTTCCACTACTGCGGCCGTGCAGCGCAGTGCGCCGCCCGCCGTTCTGCCATCCGGCAAAAATAGGATCGATTGCCGGATGCTGGAGCACCTCCGCAGTCAATGGACAGAAATCACAACCGCCCAACAGGAAAAGGAGCAAGCACAACTTCCGTTATTTCACAATAAATCGATAAACAAAAAGCATTTTTTGTTTCACAGGTTTAACAACTTTTAACAACTATCAATGGCGGCTGAACTTTAAATGCACAAAAATAAGCCATAAATACAGTTTCCACTATCAAAGTAGTCACCCTTTGTTGATCCAAACACTGCTGATCTCTCAACACAAATGATGGGCAGATTAAACAGTTCATTTCGATGCTTCTCCCACACAACGGGTGTTTGGATCTAACTTCCACGTTTATTGCTCGGACTGTATCGCAAGATCTCGAAAATCCCGCGCATGCTTGTTTGCCCACCTCAGGTCTCCGCACCGGAGCGGAGCCGTTGTAGAGCGGGTACCAGTAAAAATTGAGTTCGGAAGCGAGCGGCTGCGGAAGGCAGGGGCGGAGCGGAGGTAGTGGAATTTTGGGGTAAGTAGGGATGCTTGGTTATTCTGAACTATTTAGCTAACATGATTAAAAACCAGACTGCTGTAAAAGAGATGCAGTCTCTCCTCTCCTGCAGATGTGATTTGGAGGGTTCTTCCTGTTAAAAGGGAGTTTTCCTCTCCACTGTTGCTGCATGCTTGCTTAGTATGACTGCTGTAAAGACTCTGGCACCAGTCAGTGGAAGGAAACTTTTAACTAACTGGCATAATGAACTCCATTGGAATGTTTACTTTGATTTCGCGCCATAAACCAACGGAACTGAGTTAACTGTGACTAAACGCTGCGGTCGCGGTGCAAACAGCATATTTTTCAATCGCAGAAGGACGTGAGCTTTGACCAGGGTCGGGTTCGGACCCTGCACCTGTGTTAAGAACACTCACCTGGCTGTCTGGTGAAGTCCGGCAGGAACGTCCGTAAGAAACAACGAGCAGAACCACCGGAACTTCAACGATCAGCACAAGCAGGCAGGCCACAACGAAGTACTTCGTCCTTCGGCCCTGAGTCCGGTGGGTCCGGAGCTGGTCCGGTACCCAGTACTCCGGTCTATAGACGTTGTCTAGCTCCATCTCAACTCCAGCCTCCCAGTCACAGATCAGCAGCAGAGAGTCGGACTCCGGCTCCATTTATCAGCCGTCGCCCACGTTGAGAACCGCAGCTCCCAGTCTCGGTTCACACCAGTTTCTGTCAATCCAGGAAATACCGCCAGAACTTCCTCTTTATGGAGGTTTCTGCACCAAACGGTTCTGGTCCTGCGTCAGCTTCACTCCTCAGCATTAATATCAATGATGATGATTAAAAGGAGAGGAACCAGACTCAGATGTGTTGGTCCAGGTCCAGACCTCTCATGCCTCCAGCTGCAGCAGAGTCACGTGATCACGTTTGTCTCAGACCAGAGTTAACTTCAACTTGACTTTTTTTTAATAAATCGAAAAGCAGTTTTCTTCTTTTATGGCTCATTAGGAAGGAAAGGGAAAAGTTGTATCAGCTGTTTGGACGACCTGCTGTTGGACAGGGACCAGGAGAAAAAGAGACTATCTATCCTCCAAACTGACCCATTTGTGGCCCTCTGATTGGTTTGTTCAGCTCCCATGAAGTGGCGTGTCCAGATCTTTTAAAATGGGGTGGCCCAGGTGAGGCACAGCTTTGTGCATGGGTGGCACCAGTGGTTATGCTTTTTTGTTTTTCCCCCAAGCCTTTTGTGGACAATGAAAAGCCTATTCAAAGGTAAATTAGTGTGGTGGCACCTGGGGTGGCCAGTCAGATTCCAAGGGTGGCATGTGCTACCCCAGGCCACTCCCTGGACACGCCCCTGCTCCCATGAGCATTTCTGTCTCCAGCAGGCTGAATTCATGCCTCTTAACAACCTTATATCACACACTGCCCAGCCAAAAAACAGTCACCACTGAGAAAAGGCCACACACTAATATTTAATTGGACAACCTTTAACTTTGATTACGTCACACGTTCACTGTGGTGTTGTTTCGATAAGCTTCTGCAGCGTCACCAGCTTTATCTCCATCCAGTGTTGCATTGATGTCTCACCAAGATCTTGCACTGATGATGGTAGAGTCTGACCGCTGCACAAAGCCTTCTCCAGTGGGGTTAAGGTCTGGACTCTGCGGTGGCCGATTCATCCATCCATTTTCTGAACCCGCTTTGTCCATGCAGGGTCGGGGGGTGGGGTGGGGGGGGGGGGGGCTGGTGCCTATCTTCAGCGGTCAATGGGCAATCAGGCGGGGTACACCCTGGACAGAGAGCCAGTCCATCGCAGGGCAACACAGAAACACACAGGACAAACAATCACACACACACACACACTCACACACACACACACACACACACACACACACACACACACACACACACACACACACACCTAAGGACAATTTAGACAGACCAATCAACCTAACAGTCATGTTTTTTGGACTGTGGGAGGAGAGAACCCACGCATGCACAGGGAGAAAATGCAAACTCCATGCAGAAAGATCCCAGGCCGGGAAGCGAATCCAGGACCTTCTCTCTACAAGACAACAGCTCTAACCACTGCGCAGCCCTGGTGGCCGATCCATGTGTGAAAATGATGTCTCATTCTCCCTGAACCACTCTTTCACTGCCTGAGCCCGATGAATCCTGGCTTTGTCATCTTGGAATATGGCCGTGTCATCAGGGAAGATGGAATAACCTGGTCATTCAGGATATTCAGGTAGTCAGCTGACCTCATTCTTGGAGCACATCCTGTTGCTGAACCTAGACCTGACCACCTGCAGCAACCCCAGATCATAGCACTGCCCCCACAGGCTTGTACAGCAGGCACTAGGCATGATGGGTGCATCACTTCATCTGCCTCTCTTCTTACCCTGATGCAACATCACTGGAACAGGTCCATCTGGACTCATCAGAACAGGTTTTAATGCGCTGGACCGTTCTTAACCCAGTTTTAGTCGTTTCTGCATCTCCTTAGATGTTTTCTCTGTATAAAAACCTCAGTCAATAACACATTTCAGATCGAAAGCAACTATTGGTGAAACTGACCTCCATCTTGAATAACTTCTCCCACCCACTGTATCCCACTAAAGACCATGGACAGCTCCTTTAGCAGTAGACCGAGACACACAAGATGTAAAACAGAACACTTCTGTAGGTTATTCATTCCCTCTGCAGTAATACTGTATAACTCTGCAGTTTAGCTGGTACTGGCACTACACGCTAACATCAGAGCTATATTTACTACGAGTGACACACCCAGATGCACGAACGAATATCTGTGTCTTTTGCCGTTTCTTCTTGGAAACTCAATTTTCTATTTGTACTCTATTTTCATTATTTTTGAGTGCTGAAGGTAGGGCTGGGCAATATGGCCTAAAATCAACATAACTATGCATCGAGGATTTCACCTCCATAACGATAAATGGACACCAACTACAGATATGCGTGGAAACTAAAGTTGTCCACTAGATGGGGCTGTCACATGTATCACACTGAGTCACATTGTAACGTGACTCAAGATGGTACCGCTTCTTAAACCCTACACACATCTTTTCATTTTTTTATTAAATGTATTGGGAAAATTAGCTCGATAAAAGTCAGAAATGTCGATAACGATAATTTTTTTATTTATTGCCCAGCCCTAGCTGAAGGTTACAGTAATAATAATGGCCATGTGTATTTACCTGTATTATTTTTTCTTGTTCTCTAAGTGTATGTGCTGCCTTAACAAGTGAATGTCCCCCCTGAGGGATCAACAAAGTGATCAATAAAGTCTGGTCTATTCTACCGGACCATCCAGGTGTCCGCCCCACTTCCCTGGGTCCTCCACGCATCACACATTCATGTATTCTAGCAACAAAACACCACTGGTGTGAGAGGTTCTCCGCTCAATAATAACAGAGAAGGAGAAACAGCCGGCTGCTACCACTTCAGTCCCAAAAAGAAAAGCACCATTTCAAGTCAAGGACAACTAAACACATCTGAACCTAGAAACTGACTGGAGTTGTGCGCCATCTTGTTTCTTCTGGCAATGCGGGATTCTGGTGCAGGCGGACACAGCCCAGGCATGATATCCGATGGCAGGAGAGTGTTCTGTGACCGTGCTTGCATTTAAAAGCTAGCTTGGTTGCAGATTCGCTGAAGCAGCTTGAAAGGAAGAACACCTTTTAACAATTTTATATTCAGACTTTTACCAACATACTAATATGTTAGGCCTTTCTTCAGCAGCACGAATAAAACGGGATCACTATAAAATAAAAACATGTGCATTAAAATAAATAAATTTATTAAATTAAAATAAGCATTTTTGTGGCCCGTGAGCACTTGGCTTGTTCATTCTGACCTCGTCTTGACACGCTCCTGTCCTCGAGTCACGGGACTCCAATGAGGAGTTACTGGAACAAGGCCAAAGCCTCTGATGTCAGCAATGTTACTCAGTGATGTGTGTGTGTCTGTGTTTATCAGTGGGTGTGTGAATGTGTGTGTGTGTGCAAGTATGTGTATGAGTGGATGTGTGTGTGTGAGTGAGAGAGAGAGAGAGTGAGAGAGAGAGTGAGAGAGAGAGAGAGAGAGAGAGAGAGAGAGAGAGAGAGAGAGAGAGAGAGAGAGAGAGAGAGAGAGAGAGAGAGAGAGAGAGAGAGAGAGAGCATATTATAGCACTCACAGCCAGGGGAAGTGGATGAAAGGTGGTTATTAAATGTGTATGAGTGTGTGAGTGGGAGTTTTTGTGAGTGGGTGTGTGTGTTTGTGAGTGGGGTGTGTGAGTATGTGCATGTGAGTTTGTGAGTGTGTGTGAGTATGTGCGTGTGTGTGGTTGTCTGTGTTTGTGGGTGTGAGTGAATGTGTGCAAGTATGTGTATGAGTGTGTGAGTGGATGTGTTAGTGTGTGTGTGTGTTTGTGTGTGTGAGTATGTGCATGTGTGTGTGTTTGTGTGTGTGTGTTTGTATGTGCGTGTGTGTGTGTGTGTGTGAGTATGTGCATGTGTGTGTGTGTGTGTGTGTGTTTGTGAGTATGTGCATGTGTGTGTGTTTGTATGTGTGTGTGTGTGTGAGTATGTGCATGTATGTGTGTTTGTGAGTATGTGCGTGTGTGTGTGTGTGTGAGTATGTGCATGTGTGTGTGTGTTTGTGAGTATGTGCATGTGTGTGTGTTTGTATGTGCGTGTGTGTGTGTGTGAGTATGTGCATGTATGTGTGTTTGTGAGTATGTGCGTGTGTGTGTGTGTGAGTATGTGCGTGTGTGTGTGTGTGAGTATGTGCATGTATGTGTGTTTGTATGTGCGTGTGTGTGTGTGTGTGAGTATGTGCATGTGTGTGTGTTTGTGAGTATGTGCGTGTGTGTGTGTTTTTATGTGCGTGTGTGTGTGTGTGAGTATGTGCATGTGTGTGTGTGTGTTTGTGAGTATGTGCATGTATGTGTGTTTGTGAGTATGTGTGTGTGTGTGTGTGTGTGTGAGTATGTGCATGTGTGTGTGTGTGTTTGTGAGTATGTGCGTGTGTGTGTGTGTGTGTGAGTATGTGCATGTGTGTGTGTGTTTGTGAGTATGTGCATGTGTGTGTGTTTGTATGTGCGTGTGTGTGTGTGTGTGTGAGTATGTGCATGTATGTGTGTTTGTGAGTATGTGCGTGTGTGTGTGTGTGAGTATGTGCGTGTGTGTGTGTGAGTATGTGCATGTATGTGTGTTTGTGAGTATGTGCGTGTGTGTGTGTGTGTGTGTTTGTATGTGCGTGTGTGTGTGTTTGTGAGTATGTGCATGTGTGTGTGTTTGTATGTGCGTGTGTGTGTGTGAGTATGTGCATGTGTGTGTGTTTGTGAGTATGTGCGTGTGTGTGTGTTTGTATGTGCATGTGTGTGTGTGTTTGTGAGTATGTGCATGTGTGTGTGTTTGTATGTGCGTGTGTGTGTGTGTGTGTGAGTATGTGCATGTATGTGTGTTTGTATGTGCATGTGTGTGTGTTTGTATGTGCGTGTGTGTGTGTGTGTGTGTGTGAGTATGTGCATGTGTGTGTGTTTGTATGTGCGTGTGTGTGTGTTTGTATGTGCGTGTGTGTGTGTGTTTGTGAGTATGTGCATGTGTATGTGTGTGTGTGTTGGAGAAAGGTTTGTGAGGAATGTTGAGATGAAATATGGTTACAGTACAAAACATCTTCCAACTGGCCTGTTGGTTTAGGCGACAGTGGCAGAGGAGTTAAGAGCCCACCTCATAACCGTAGGGTTGCAGGTTCAAGTTCCGTCTGTTGCACGCCTCAGGGCAGCTGTGGCGACATTGTAGCTCATCACCAGGTGTGTGTGAAGGACTGTTGTGTGGTAAAGTGCCTTGGGCGGTTCCAGAACCCTAGAAGGTACATTATAAATACAGGCGATTTCCCACTGCTACAAAGTCTGGATCAACAAGAGAAACTGGAATCAGCAGCTGGTTCACAAGAACCCGATGAGCTGGTTCTGTCTCGTGCAACAGAACAGACAACAATCGGACGCATTTTTATTTGAGTTCTGGTTCTGAATTTTATTTACAAAGTCTGGAGTCCAGCAGCAGAGTCTGTTTATAAAAGGAAACGATAGAAACAGTGTGAGGAGAGGGCAGCACCAGCCTGGTCCTGGATCAGGTGGGCTGGTGTTGGGTTAGGGAACGGGTCCGGTCCTGTTGGGTCGGGTTGTGTTACGGTGCCACACACATGTCTGTACAGTACCAGTGCTACTATTTACATTCACCTGTACATGGAGAGTATCTACAGAAAACCCATGAAGAGCTCCAGAACCAGGTACCTGAATACCAGAACCTGGTACTGGAGCTCAGCTATCAGCCATCGGGAAGTGGAACCCGATACTAGATGCCTGGGCCCGGTACCAGACACCTGGGCTGGGCACCAGATGCCTGGGCCCGGTACCAGATGCCTGGGCTGGGCACCAGATGCCTGGGCCCGGTACCAGATGCCTGGGCCCGGTACCAGATGGCTGAACACCTGAGGAGTTTCTTCCATCACTAGCTTTACTGGTTCAGCTCAGCTGGTCTACGTTTCAGACGAGGAGATGACGAGCCCCCCAGCCAGCTTGGTCCATGGGTTTTTGCTGAGGTAGGCAGCAAACAGCAGATTAGATTAGATTGTTACAGATTAACACACAGGAATGTGTCACTTTCCTGCAGCCAGGCCGGATGGTGAATGATTACAGGTAAACACACACTCCTCTCACACCTCAGCTAGCTGACACACCTGAACCAAACACAGGAAGTTATAAAGGTCATGTGAGGTCATCCGCGCTTCTTCAAAACGCCTCCTACAGCCCCACCCCCCCACCCCCCAATAAATAAATAAAAACAACACAAAATAAATATCAGTCACTTAGTTTGGATCACTGTGAGTGATCTGGCTTAAAAACACAGGAAAGGCTCCAGGAAGTCCTCTCTGGTGCCGGGATCTGCTTCAGCCCACCTGCCTGTCTCACACCCAGTTAACCAGGGCAGCAGCGCCCTCTGCTGGCTCCAAAAGGGTTAGTGGAGCTTCTTTGGATCCTTTTTCATCCATTTCACAAATGAATTCTATAAAAAGGGAAAATATTCCTACATCTCTTTGCATATGGTGAAGCAGAGTGTTCTGGATTTGGAGGACAAGCAGGAAACAGCAGCTGTGTGGTGTCTGACGACGCAGGACTCTGGTCTGGGATCGGGTGGACGCTAAGCCTTGTAGCAGTTTCCCTGAGTGGTGAGGGCTAGCTGGCCGTTCGGCACAACCTCGCTGGCCTCGTCCTCCAGAAGGCCCGACACGTCGGCGTTGGGGATGCTGTCATGGTAGCTGCTGAAGCTGATATTGTCTTCTTTCAATTCGATGGTCCAGAAGGGGGCATTGAGCTTGCGGTTCTGGTACTCTCGATAAGTGTACACGCCCCCCACAAAGCCAAGCAGCAGCAGCACCACCAGGATGATGACGGCAAGGATGATGATGTTGAACTGGGTCCACGAGACCTCCGTCAGGGCAGATGTGGTGTTGTCAGTTGGGCTGCTGAGGCTGCTCAGCACAGCCTGGGTGCTGTTGGGCTCTGGGAAGCCTCTGCTGGTGGTGATGTAAGTCAAAGTGACACTGGTGAAAGACGACGTGGGCGAGGATCTGCTGGGTGCGGGGGCCTTGGGTGGAGATGGATCTGCTGGTCCTGAAAGGAGGCGGGTCGCTAGAGATAAAAAAAACACACACACACCATGAGTCCAGAACCTAAAGCACCAGGGGTCTCATTTATCAAACATGGCGTAGAATCCGTACTAAAACCGTACTTTAGCTCAGCAAAACAAAAGTACTTACGTCAAGCAGGTTGTGATCTATCAAACATGGAGTACGCACAGCTGCACGCAATCTCCGCTTCATAAATGAGACTAACGAGAATGTTGAAAGACTATTTGAACACAAGTTCCAAGGTGTAATTATAGATGATAAATTAAATAGGAAGTCACATATAAATAATATCCATAATAACATTTCAAGAAGTATATCAATATTATAAAATGGGTTTAATGAAGAACAATTTATGCTGGAAATGTAAAAGGCAGGAAGGTACTTTTATTCATTCTATGTGGTCGTGCTATGTTGTTCAACCTTTTTGGAAAAAAATACTGAATACAATGCAAGAGTGGTTGGGTATACCGCTCCCGGAAACTGCTCTACTTTGTTTACTAGGAGACTTGTCGTGTGTACCGAATATATCTACAACGGCAGAGGCCCGCTCTTACATGTTTTATTTCAGCAGCTAGTTATACTGCGTGAATGGAAAAGTTCTGAGGCACCTGTTTACAGAGACTGGATAATAACAATGACGGAGGTTGCATCTTATGAACTATTAATTGCTAAAATGAAGGGAAAAAAAGACCCATATTTTGAAACTTGGAATGAATTTTTGTTTTTTATTGGTAAAAAGATGTAAAAGTTGCTGGACAGCATGTTTTGAAATTATTATGAATGGTGGTTGGGAGTGGTTTTGAGTTCACCAGTGCTGTATGGGGGGGGGGGGGGGGGGGGGGGGTATTTGGGTATTTTGTTTTTGTTTGTATGTAAAAAATTTGGAAAACTTAATAAAAAACTTGAATAACAAAAAGAAGTATATCAATACTGAGTAAAGTAAAACACATTCTGGACCACAAATCCCTCCACATTCTATATTGCTCCATGGTTGCACCGTATTTGTGCTACTGTGCAGAGGTTTGGGGCGATACTTACAAATGTCCATTATCAACAATCTCTATATTACAGAAAAGGGCCTTTAGAATAATTCATAAAACTGGCTACAAAGATCATCCCAATCCACTGTTCTTAAAATCTAAAACTTTAAAATTTCCAGATCTGGTGCATTTTCTCACGGCACAGATTATGTATAAAGCAATAAATAAACTACTTCCTGACAACATTCTAAAATTATTTTCTAAAAGGGAAGGGGGATACAATTTGAGGGGTGAATTTAACTTAAAATGTTCTTGTATTCGTACGACATTAAAAGGTTTTTGCATTTCTGTGTGTGGAGTGAAGCTGTGGACGTTTCAGTGCAGATATGAAGCAATGCCCAAGCATGAGGCAATTTAAAAAGCAGCCTAAGGATTTGGTTTTTGCAGAGCACAAGGAGGTTGAGAACTGATGATCTTGTGCAATATTTCTGTTGACATAATTGTGCACGGGTTTGTTGTGGTGGGTATCTCAATGTTCTTAAAAATATACATGTCATTTATACCGAAACTAAAAGGAGGAATGTCTGTAGGCTATTGGTTGTTAGAGTGGAAAGGGGGTGGGATTAAATAAGCTTAAGCTTCTTCCTGCTCCTTTTTGAACGTTACTTGTAGTGTGTTTCTTCTTTTTTTATTTGTTTTTTTCGGTCTATTTTCTTGCTTTATTTTTATGTACAGTTTTTTTCAATATGTTCAAAAATAAAGATTCAATCAATGTTTCTCAGCTGCTTTTTAGTCACATCCCGCCCTCACCACGCCCACTTACTGCCATAAATGGTTAATGCAAAGTGCCTTGTGGACCTCATGCATAAACATAAGCCGGCTGTTGCAGCGCTCCGCCAATGACATGGCGACCGTAGATCAAGGCAGATCAAGGAAGCGCAATTTCACAAGCAGAAGTTGAGGTACTTGTGGGTGAGGTGGAGAAATGAAAGGAAGTGGTTTTGCAAAACAAATAAGAGAAAATCCATGGAGTGGCACAGCGTTGCTGAAGCTGTCTATGTTGTGAATTCTTCAGAGAGATCTGTGGTGGATATAAAAAAATGGTCCAATTGTGACTCGATCCCCAGACTCCCGGGTAAAAGTCACACACGCTAACCAGTCAGCCAAACGGAGATCTCCCTTATACAACTAGCCAGGGTGCATGATCTATCGGGTCACAGATGCATGATGTTCTCTCTCAATCTGTCCCCCTGCATTCCGTATTCTGCGCTTCAGGCTGTGTGTGTGCACGCGCATGTGTGTGCGCGTGTGTGTGTGCATGTGGGGGGTCTTGTTCTGTGTAAAAACAAAGCAGTACAAGTGATAATGCTGCAGGATTTCATAATTGTATCTTCTCAGCAGCAGCACTGCAGGTGCTCTCCATGTCCAACATGTGTGTAAGCCAGGTCCTTAGCCAACTTAAAGTTGCGTACATATTTCTGCTAAGTTTTCTTTCATACATCCCAAAGTTTGTGTGGAAAGTTGCTTATGAAGTTTTCCAACCCCGTTTTATGCGTAAGCAAGCTTGAATGAGGCTCCAGATGATTAATGATCCAGTCAGAAACCACTCTGATTTACTGGAAACGCTCAGCTAAACGTTAGTGAAGTGGTTTAATTCGTGTGAGACAACACAACCGTGTAGGCTGCATCACATCCCACAGAGGAAAAACTCTGTTGGGAGCGGAGCACACACATGAGCGATGGGGTGCGCACCCGTGACCCGAAAGCTCAAAATGGCGGCGTAGTGAGATGTGCATTCCCACTGGGCAGCTCAAACCACGGGGTAGGAGCGAGGAAGGCAGAGCCGCAGCCGGCGAACAACGGGGCTGTGGCAGGCAGAGACCCAAACAACCCATAATCATGCAGACTCACACCACATCCCGCCAGGAAGACCGCCGTCAGGAGCAGAGCATGCACATGAGCAATGGGGTACCAAGCCCCCATAATCGGGTCTGAAATTGAAGCCAATATGGAAGTACCAAACATTTGCAGTTCCACCCTCATCCACTAGGGGCTGGAGTCAGACGTGAGCAAATCCTCATTGACTCCCATGTTAAAAATACCAATTTCACAGCAGAAATAAACATGTTTACAGCCTGGTACCAAAACATGTTTTTGGTTTAAATGATCTAGTTTACACTCATGACAACTCTGAGGGGGGTGAATTTTTTCTCACTCTTCTGTTTAAGTGTATTAAAAGCCTAAAATTCTGTATAATTAATGAGCATCAGACCCACGTGACCACAGAGCTAGCTCCGGGGAAAGGCCTCAGTAGAGCCTCGGTCTGGCCTGGAAACTGCTCCGGGATTTTTTGTCTCTCAACTTAGACCATTAGTTGTAGCGTTTGTGCGTTATTTATTTTTGGATATTATTTGTGCAATTGTTGGACAAAATGACTTGCTGTGGCATTAATTGCACTAATAGAGCGTCCAAGGAGTCTCCACTTCATTTTTTTCGGTAAGTAAAATTATATTTATGTATTTTAGGTCACTGCCGAGCTGAGCTTAGATTTTAACATGTACTGTTTAACCATGAAATAAATGTAATAGGGTAAAACCCAGTGTGTTTAACATGATGCTGCACTTTAGAAAATGGGTTGAAATATAACATGTTGGTGGAGCTGGGTTCTGACTATCGGTACTTATAGTGGCAGCTCTGCACATCTCAGATCACAGCGGCGCTTGTCTGCTGTGCGGCTGCCGGCCTGTGGAGGTCTCGGTGACCTCTGTTTTCCACCCGGTTTTACCCAGCGGTCAGCCCGGCATATCTCTGACTCGGAAGCTCTGGTGTTGTGCACAGTTAACTCCGGTTGTAGCTAGGTTGCTACCTCCGTTAGCTTAGCTCCCACCTCCGCTTTGGGTTAGCTTGTAGCTACTTCGCTTCAGTTCGACGGGTGTCGTCATTTGATCCCAGCCTCACAGTCCCACCCTCAGCTCCACCTCTTTTCCCTTTTATGGAATTGTCTGGGCTTGACGGAACCTGTGACACGGTCAAAATGGCGGTGGTGGCCACCTCCCATTTTGGCTTAAAAACTTATAATTGGAGCCTATGGACACGAATTGTCCAGTATATATGTCGATGTGGGGTATGCATCCGTGACTGAAAGCCCAAAATGGTGGCACGGTGAGATGTGCATTCCCGCTGTGAAGGAGGGGTGGTTGTGCTCGGCGAGGGAAATCATGTGTGAGAGGACAACAGAAGGATCATCCGAACCATCTGTAGCTGTGGACCGTGACAGTAATTCGATTTCAGGGAACGTTTATTTCAATAACACTCAAAACAGTCATAATCACACATATTTGCTGCATCGAGTTGCCAGAGCCTGAGTGTTGGTTCTGAGCACAACTCGGGTCAGCTAGACACCTGAATGGTGGATAGCTCTGCGGGTTACTGTGGTCTAGATATTGCTGCGATATTGAGGGTCACACAGCACGTCCGAGCCGACTGAACCGGTGTCCGCTAGGCGGGGGTCCGGGAAGCATAGACTAGGCAGCAGAGCACAGATTCAAGTCACACGCTTCAGCAGTCCTGCTATCAGCAGAGACAGCTGCAGAACAGTGGGCACAGCGAAAAGCTGCATTACAATCCGTGTTTGGAGGTGGGAGTAGCACACCAAACAACCAGCTTTAGTAAAAGGTGAAGCTAGGTAAGGCGGTAAGGAGGTAGCGCTCTCATGGCCGGAAACAGCGTAGGGGAAGAGCGCGGGAGCCCAGCTTCGGGTCCTGACAGGGAGCATGGAGGTCTGCCTCCACAATAAGTACATTAACAGTACCTGTCCAGTGGAGAAGATGAATGGCTTTGCTGGACATGACACTTTCCAGTAGGTTGTTCCTGTCGTGTAAATCCTGGGGAGCACAAACTGACCGGATTGTCAGACATGTGCTTGAAGAATAGTTTAGTTTAAGCTCATTCAAATGATTTAGTTGTTTGAAGATGAGAAAGGAGACGAGCTATGCTCGCTGTGCCCTTTTATGGAGCCAGGACCCGCATAGGAGGCGGGCGCACACAAAAGCTCTTCAATGATTGGTTAAGGGGATGTATTAATCCAATAGGCAATGGCTTAAAGGGCGGAGCTATACAAAATAGAACCTGTCATCCACAAATCAGTTACCAGGCTGATCCGACATAGAAACACTTGTGATGCATTAAAAACCGACCCGGATCTGGTTCCTTATGATGCTGGGTAGAGATATGAAACAAGAACCAGGACATATTTAGAACCTCTGGTTATATCCATGTGAGGACCATGTTGGGTCCAGATCGGTCCTGTGCTGTAGAGCCCTGCACTGAAGCCCTAGGCCCTCGGGTCGGCCCGGCTCTAGGCCCTCGGGCCGGGCTTCGGGCCAATGACTGTGTAATTACCTCGGACACGGGCCGGGCGCCTTCGAATTCATAAAAAAAAATTGAAACACTAAATCACTCAAGAAAAGATTCCCATCTGAACATCTGAGCTGGACACTGCTCAGCGCAGCTCACTGTCAGCGTGTACATAAGGTGCACAGCGAGCTGAAGATGTGGAGAGGGGCTTGGAGCGCGTCGCAGAACCAGAGCGCATGCGGGAAGATTCCTCCCACTGAAGCAAGTGTTTTCCAAACCCTGTCTCTCAGAGAGACTTGTCACTTAGAAAATGTTCCCTGATTATGAAACTTTGGCTGAATAGTGCTTGTTCCTGTCTCCAATGTGGCGACACATCCAGGAGCCGTCTGAGGAGAAGCCCAGAATCTCTTCAGCTCAGAAAGCGCCTATATGATTACGCACAAGCGTGACCCGTCAACCCGGTCTCACAGTAAGACCGGGTTGGGCCTGTTCAGGTTTACGCAGACAATCTTTACATAGAATTGGCATACAGATGTAAAATTTATGCAGTAAAATATAAAGCATTTTATTTAAATATCCATTCATTATTTTACAAGCACAGAGAGCCGCATCAGATGGATGGAAGAGCCGCGGGTTGCCGACCCCCGACTGAAACGCAGCAGTAGAGCCCTGCGCGCGCAGGACTGTTTTCTTCATCTCGCTCCCGCTGAATTTCTGACCATTACCGCCCGCACCTGCAGTGTGCATGTCTACCCCCGCCCGCAACCGCAAAACTCAGAGAAATTATTACCTCACAATAAAAGAGATGTATTGAGTTTGCGTCCTCTCTGGTCCTGGAGAAAACATGTCATTTTATAGGCTGCTATACCAGGGGTCGGCAACCCGCGGCTCTTCCATCCATCTGATGCGGCTCTCTGTGCTTGTAAAATAATGAATGGATATTTAAATAAAATGCTTTATATTTTACTGCATAAATTTTACATCTGTAAGCCAATTCTATGTAAAGATTGTCTGCGTAAACCTGAACAGGTCCAGCCGGTCTTACTGTGAGACCGGGTTGACGCGTCACGCTTGTGCGTAATCATAGGCGCTCTCTGAGCTGAAGACGATGTGAGATTCTGGGCTTCTCCTCAGACGGCTCCTGGATGTGTCGCCACATTGGAGACAGGAACAAGCGCTATTCAGCCAAAGTTTCATAACCAGGGAACATTTTCTAAGTGACAAGTCTCTCTGAGCGACAGGGTTTGGAAAACACTTGCTTCAGTGGGAGGAATCTTCCTGCATGCGCTCTGGTTCTGCGACGCGCTCCAAGCCCCTCTCCACATCTTCAGCTCGCTGTGTACCTTATGTACACGCTTACAGTGAGCTGCGCTGAGCAGTGTCCAGCTCAGATGTTCAGAAGGAAATCTTTTCTTGAGTGATTTAGCTACATCTGCGATGTGCGAAACGAATAAAATGTCAGTTCGTCTGCATGCGTCGGGGTAATTCTTTCTATTCTTTCTCCGTCAAAATAAACGGTCAAATACAGGAACTGTCCGGTCAACACAAGCCCTGCTTTTAACTGTTCTGTTTTCTTGTGAAAATTGTTGGAAAGAGATAAAATTTAACTTGATTACCACCAGAGCCAGTGCGCCGTCATCTCCGTGACGGTAAACGAGGGAAAAACAAATTGATCGGATCCTGCACGTCTTTTAACACATCGGTCAGGATTGACGCACTTTGTTTTCATTTAGTTGGTTAAAAAAAAGTCTGGCTCGGGTTCGTGTCGGGCCAGAGAATCCTGAAAACCTTTTCGGACCGGCTCGGGCTGGGGCTCCACCCCCTCGGGCCGGGCCGGACAAGGGCTCAGATTTTAGGCCCGTGCAGGGCTCTACTGTGCTGTACTCTCACCTGGACGGGTGCAGTTGTGTGTTAGTGCATCCCCGATGAATCCTGGAGCACAGAGCTGGCACCGAGGCCCAGTGGTGTTGTTGATGCAGCGGAGGCAGGATCCGGTGTCAGGGTGACAAAGCGGGTCCAGGCCTCGGGGGTCCGCGTTCCCGCTGCAGTCACACGGAACACACACCCCTGACTCCCTGTAGAAACCAGCACTGCACTGATCACAGAGCGGACCGCTGTAGGGAGGACGGCACTGCTCACACACCAGAGAGCCACTCCCACCTGAAAACACACACACACACGCATACACGCACGCACACACACACACACACACACACAGAGAGAGAGAAACAGTTTTAATGCAATCATAATACATAAAAATATTGTTTAATTCAAAGAAGCTTAAACCCAGAACTACAAAAGTGTGTCTTCTGTGTGTGTGTAATGGGAACACACCCCAAATCACACAGACTATCTGACAAACCAGAATCAGAAGCTTTAACACAAAGGTTAAAGGTCACTGCAGCCGGGGCCATGGAGACCCACACAGATGCTGAAACTAATCTGTGAGTATTTAGCAGCCACACACTGTTCCAGTTGTCCCACTTAAAAAAGAGAGGTCTGCAAATGTCACCTGTGAGAGACTAAATGTACGCAGGGGGATTAAATTCCAGGCCCGGAGCGCTGGTTTCCAGCAGGTTTTAGTTTAACCCTGCTTCAGCACACCTGATTTCAGTCAGCAGTTGATTAACAGGCTTCTGCAGAGCCTGATGAGCTGCTGCACAGGTGATTCACCCACTGAATCAACTGTTTTGAGCAGTGATGCTTTGGGGCTGTTGCTGGGCCACACAGAGTTCTGACCCCATCCACAGATTCTATGTTAGATTGAGGTCTGGCGACAGGCTAGGCCACTCCAGAACCTAGAAATGCTTTTTCATGTAGCCACTCCTTTGTTGCCAGAGCGGTGTGTTTGCTGAGTCATGCTGGAAGATCCTGCAGCCAGGCTCGTCATGGAAGGAGATATTTTACCCAAAAGCTCACAATACATGGCGCCTACAGTAGTGGCCCTACTATATATCAGTCGTCCTGTCCCCTTTGCAGAAAACAGCCCCAAAGCCTGATGCTTCCACCTCCATGCTTCAGAGTGCTTCAGAGCAACTCAGCATTCTTCCCCCTCCAAACATCACAAGTGGCGTTACTACCTGAACTCTATCTTAATCTTGTGTGACATTTTTCCAGTCCTCCTCTGGATCATCCAGACAGTCTCCGACAAACTTTAGACGGGCCTGGACATGTGCTGGCTTTAGGAGGGGGACCTTCGGAGCAGGATTCTAATCCAGGATGATGGAGTGTAGAGACGTTATTGTAGGGAGAGTCGAGTCTGACCGTTTGAAGGTGTGGACATGTGTCTTCTATACACACAACAAGTTCAAACAGGTGCTGTTAATACAGCTAACGAGTGGAGGACAGGTCCGTGAGGGACACAATTCTTGCTTGTTTGTAGAAGCTAAATAATTAATTTCTGCATCAATATGCTAATAAACTCTTTTAATGGTTTTTCACATTTCGTTTCTCACAGGTGAAGTGCACCTATGATGAAATTTACAGACCTCTCTCTTCTTTTTAAGAGGGACCACTTGCACAGTTGGTAGTGTAACCTGGTCAGCTGATCAAACACCTCCAGAACCACCAGTAGCACAAACCCAAGCACAAGATTGTTCTGGAAGCTTCTGCTCTGATAAACTTTTATTTTATCATGACTTAGTGTCAGTGGACTCTTCCGACCAAAGATGAACCCTGACTGAATCCGACACTGATGTCCCTCCACACGCAGCAGGTGGATCTGGTTTCCAGGTGTCAGCTTTCTCCTGAAACCAGAGGCTCTCAGTAACTTAACACTACACAGTCCGGCTCACCCGACAGGAACCGCAGCGCTAAAGGGTTCTGCCACAAGCTGGACCGGACCCCTGCCCTGAGGGCACGTCTGTCTGAATGAGTTGATCCATACTTTAAAGGTGTTTGATGGGGGCCATCTATGGAGAAATGACTCCCAACAGAATCCGTTGAAATAAAAGCAGAAATGAAGCGAACATCTAGCAGCTCTTGTGTTTGGTACAGGTACCTCAGACCTGCTCCACATGTTTCCAGCTGCTGGCTGGGTGAACCTGCTAGGACGTGGACACATGTCCCACGGGAACACAACCAAAGGCCAAAATAATGAGTTCTAATTATTTCAGAGAGAAGTGAACGCGTGTTTGATGATATGATTTTAAACCAGTGACCATGAAAAGCATCTAAAGTCTTTCATCAGATCACGTTCAACTTCTGATCTGCTGCTGTTCCTCCGCTGGTCTGCAGGTGACCTCACACCAGGTGACCCTAAACATACAGGGCGCTTGACACCAGGCTACTCTCCTACTAAAGGTTAATCTTGTCCACCTGAGCTGGACAAGCTGAGGAAACTTTAGTTCCACTCAGCTGCTCCACAGAACCACAGAACCTGGCTCAGAGGTCTATAGAACCTCAGACTGGCTGATGAAGTTAATCTGAGAACAGCGGGAAGATAAACAGGTACTGACCGGTGCGACAGGTGCCAGTGGAGGTGGAGTTGGAGCAGGGACATGGTGCACAGGCATGGTCCAGGGTAGAACCGGGCCTACGGTAGAACCCGGGCTTACACTCCTCACAGTTGGATCCCTGGGTGTTCCCCTCACAGTCCAGGCACACTCCTACAGAACACAGCAGACCTGTAAAAACTCTAAATCTGAAAACAGGTCATTATAGAAAATGAGCTGAATCTAGTTCTACACAGAACCCACAACAAAACGGTGCAAATGGACCGGTACCCTCTGTAGCGGCCAGAGGTGTGTTAGTGTGAGTTAGACAGAAGCAGACTAGACCTGTCTGGACCACAGAGACAGACTGGACACAGGTCCTCATCAGAATCTCAGTCCTCTCGCCAAACTGGGTCTAGAGTTCTTCCCGGTAACATTTATTAAAACAGACTAATGTCCCTCTGCTTTGGGTTCAGCTCAGTCCCTGTCCTGGGTGAGGCTGTCCTGCACCTTTACTGAGGCCAGGCTCCATCCACGCCTCGTTACAACAAAGAGCAGATGGAGCCTCAAGGACCAGACACCAATAACAGTCTGCTCTGTTTTCATCCCAGAAACGGATAAGTCCAGATTTGATCGACAAGCTAATGGCTAGTTCAGATGGGCTAGGAGCAAAATGGATCGCATTCATCATATGACACCATTAAAACAACATTTCGCAGCAGTTCATCAGATAATTATTTAGAACATTTGTCGTTATTGCATCATGGAGATGTTGAAGCAGGAAGAGCCAAAGCTAGCTGCCGGTGTGACACATTTCCGGTTTATGAAGTCAGTTCACTATGAAAGTTCTTAGATTCAAATTCCAGTGTAGTGTTATGAGATAGGAGTGTTAAATTATGACCAATAAGATGTGATGATTCTATATAAATATAGAATATCAACCTGGTTGATCTTTGAATGTTTACCAGAAGAATTTAAGATTATTTGCTTATTCATATTCAATTCAAATTCAAAGATACTTTATTAATCCCAGAGGGAAATTAGAGTTTCAGTACACACAATTCTGAGATCAGACAGACAGGCAAAGACACATGACATGAACTGGTGACTGTGGTCATTCACAACCCGAGTCGCGCTACCTTAACAGAGATCAGCGGGGTTTACATGAGGACTGGGTCAGGTGGAGGAAAAAAAAGGCACTTCAGAGTTACCCTCCACAGGGAGGGCAGCTTTGCTCTGCAAGGGCTGCATGGCTGCATGGTGGCGCAGTGGTTAGCACTGTTGCCTCGCAGCACGAAGGTCGCAGGTTCAAAACTCAGCTGCGGCCTTTCTGCGTGGAGTTGCGTGTTCTCCCCATGCATGCGTGGGTTTCCTCTGGATACTCCGGTTTCCCCCACAGATCACAACATGCCCTATAGGTTATAAATTGTAAGTCGCTTTGGATAAAAGCGTCTGCCAAATAAATAAACATAAAAATAAACATAAAAACACCTCAGACAGAAATGCAACAGACTTCAGACATTACACAAGTGTCCACTAGGTGGGGAGGTAGGGTAGAGGACTCTGCACACATCAGTGCATGCAGCCACGATAAGCAGCGCTAGTCACCTCCTTCCGGACAGGGGGGGGGGGGGGGGGGTAGTTGGGTTTAGAGAGCACAGTGACTCCTGGAACGATTCAGCAGCCTTCACCGGTCTCAGTCCCACCCAGGCTGGGATAGGGAGACAGAGTTGCCATGGCGATGGCAGCATTCCACATTTCTTCTGAGGGGGAGTATTCACTTCAGCCTCACAGGCTCAAGGGCTCCAGATTCAGATAATAACTTGTTTTGGGGCCAGACAGAGATAATTTCCTCTGTCTTAAAGTTCCGTTGGTCCTCAACCCCTCTCAATCCAATAATGGCGTAGTTAATCAATCCCAATCCGTGCTGACCCGTCAACTCTTTCCTTGATCGAATCCACCTTCAGTGCCAGTCTGAATCTCAGCCAAAGTTCCAAGCTTACGACACATCTCGACAATTATATGAGTCTACGTTCACAGCACAGCGTAATCCATCCCTGAGCACCGGGATTAAGCCAATATTCCTCGACAGCTCATTAATTTTCCGGTAAGCCAGGTAACCACTCAGGCCAAAAAGCAAAAAACCTGACACCAACACCACGAATATCCAATCTTCAGAATCCTCTACAGACAGTTGAGAGAAGCAGATCAGGTTCCACTGTTTCCAGGAGTCCATGATGTACCCCCAACTGGCTCTGTCCCAGAGGGGCATCCAGGAGCCCCTTCTCCTGTTCTCATCGTTGAAAAAATTTTGTCAATCGCGTTGAGAGACCAGCTGACCAGGTCCATTTTTAATAATTTCCAGTTTACAGAAAAAAATGTAGAAGCGCCGTCCACCCAAAGACAGACAAAGAGCCTTGGGATAAGATAGGGAGGAGAGGAGGAAAAAAGTGTCTGTACTCTCCAAGAGCCGGAAGATTGACCATAAACACACTTGTATTAATTCAGACAGAGTCAAGTATATAATTAAAATAAAATTTATTTTCTAGACTAATTATAATACATGACAACTATGAACAATGATATGTGATGGATGTATGATGTGTGATGTTCATCAGAACCTTTGACCTGAGTTCTGGGTGTAAAAGAATCTGTTGTCTGCTATAAACCAGAGAGTTGATGATTCATAGAACGGCATCAGACGCAATCTTGTTGTGTCTACGTACCCTTAGGAGACCCTCTTTTAGATCCAAGATGTCGTCGGGTGACCCCAAGGCATTGAGGGTCGTAGATGAACCGCAAAACAGCACGAAGGTTGGTTGAGTCTAAGGATGGGCTCTTAAGGAGTCTTGCTGTGTCAGCTTTGCAGCGTGTAAACAGGTTTTGACTGTATGTCAAAGAGATGTTTCGAAAGAGGCTGGTTCCGGATTGTCAGCTGAGCAGGAAACAAAACTTACTCAACTGAACTGAATAACTCGGGAAGTAATCCGAGTTTTATTAATTCCTATGTTATGATTTTCTGGCAAATCACAACGTGCCATGTTAAGGAGGTTTTACCAAACAAACCTCAGAAACACTCCTTCAGACAGAAGATGCTCTGATTTTGTGTATAAGAAAATCTCTATGTGTCATGGATTAACTGTAGCCTTGTGTCATAGAGATATGCACGTGTGTGAGAGCTTGTCAAGTAGGCTGATTATAAAACAAATGGATCATTGCAAGGACACATTCATTTCAACCTTATTAATTTAGGCACAGATTAATCAAAACATTTCATTTAACTCCTTGTTCATACTTATATGATTATTTACATATTTAATTTCATCATTCAGTATTTATTATTATAAAAGTTTATCCTTCATTATAACGGTTGGATCCTTTATTCTTTGCAGGACAGTCTGTGTTGACAATCTCAGTGTCAACAACACCGTAGAACCCTTCTTGCAGCTTGGAGTATTAGAGGGCACACAAAGGCGGAATTATGTCTGTAGATGACCGGATACTGAAGAGGTCAAACTGTAGATGAAAAGTGACCTTTCCTGGATGCTACACCAGTAATCCTGTTTGGTGTTGGTCCTGCTGTGCCTAGCTGTTAGCTTATTAATAGTCAGATTTATGTCTACTTTCTCTAAACTTTTCCAGTTAAAGCTTCTGTGGCTCATTCACACAGAACAGCTCACCAAACCTTCTGATTACAGGTGATCAGAAGAAACCGGGTCCTGACCGACCCAGTTACATTCTGAACAACTCACCGGACTGAGGGTGGCAGGAGCTGGTGTGGTTGTTGCACCGGCAAGGCCGACAGCCGGTGTTGCTGAAGTGGAAGAAGCCCGGGTGGCACTCGTCACACTTGGGCCCGTAAACGCCTGGCTTACACACACAGCTTCCTGAGCTGGAGGAGGAAAACACATCAGTGGTCAGAATCAGAACACCAGAATTCAAACGCACACTGGAATAGAATAAATAAATGCTTGAAGTGTAATAAACCATTTTCTAGGCTGTACTTAAAAAATGACTCATTTTTGTATTACCCCTGTGGATTTATTCCACTGTGTCTCCTTGGGGGGCTGGGGCCCGCTCCACAACCACATGTTAGGGTCACCCAGAAGTTAAATAACAGCAAGAAATTGCTGAGAGGAAGTGGAAATTTTGATTTCAAGAAAAAAAAAACAGGATTTGGAGTCTTACTTCCTGATTTTTGGACATCTGTCCTCTGACTGGCTAACAGCAACATGAATCTACCACTGACTCCGTTTCCTCTGTAACGTTGAGGTTTCACCTCCACATATAACATAAGCCTGGAGGAGTTCTGCTGTGTGGTGGAGCTGCTAATGCTAACAGTTAGCTTCTACTAGTTGAGACCAAGCCCCCACAATGCAGCTCTAAAATTGAGTCAAACCCAGAAATGAAATAAATTGCAGTTCCACCCTAATCCACTAGGGGCTGGTGTCAGAAGCGAGCAAATCCTCATTGACTCCCATGTTAAAAATACCAATTTCACAGCAGAAATAAACATGTTTACAGCCTGGTACCAAAACACGTTTTTTGTTTAAATGATCTAGTTTACACTCATGACAACTCTGAGGGGGGTGAATTTTTGTCTCACTCTTCTGTTTAAGTGTATTAAGCCTAAAATTCTGTATAATTAATGAGCCTCAAACCCACGTGACCGCAGAGCTAGCTCCGTGGAAAGGCCTCAGAAGAGCCTCGGTCTGGCCTGGAAACTGCTCTGGGATTTTGAGTCTCTGTGTTTGTGTATTCTGTTTTGGATATTATTTGTGCAATTGTTGGACAAAATGACTTGCTGTGGCATTAATTGCACTAATAGAGCGTCCAGGGAGTCTCCACTTCATTGTTTTCGGTAAGTAAAATTATATTTATGTATTTTAGGTCACTGCCGAGCTGAGCTTAGATGTTAACATGTACTGTTTAACCATGAAATTTAAATGTAATAGGGTAAAACCCAGTGCATTTAACATAATGCTGCACTTTAGAAAATGGGTTGAAATATAACATGTTGGTGGAGCTGGGTTCTGGGTGGAGCTTGTGGAGCTCTCGGGAGACCGATGTTTTCCACCCGTTTCTCCCCTCTCCGCAGCTCGGCGCATCTCTGTCTGATCGCGGCTCCTGACTGCTGCGCGGGCTGCCGGCTTGTGGAGCTCTCGGTGACCTCTGTGTTCCACCCGGTTTTACCCAGCGGTCAGCCCGGCGTATCTCTGACTCAGAAGCTCTGGTGTTGTGCACAGTTAACTCCGGTTGTAGCTAGGTTGCTACCTCCGTTAGCTTGGCTCCCACCTCCGTGTTAGCTTTGGGTTAGCTTCAGGTTAGCTTGTAGCTAGTTCAACTGGGTGTCGTCAGTTGATCCCAGCCTTACAGCCCCACCCTCAGCTCCACCTCTCTTCCCTTTTGTGGAATTGTCTGGGCTTGACGGAACCTGTGACACGGTCAAAATGGCGGTGGTAGCCACCTCCCATTTTTCTTCAAAAACGTGATATTGGAGCCTATGGAAAGGAGATGTCCAGTATATTTATATGAGACGATAAACCAACAGCAGCCTTCCTCGTTGTGAGCCAAGATGGCTCACAACGTCCATGAATGTTAAGTGGCAGTTTGACCGTCTGTTTTCTATCAGAAGCTAATGCAGGAGATACGTGTAGACTATTTCATGTTCACTCAGAGTGACTGGTCATGCATTTTCAAAAATAATATTGGAGAAAAAACACTAGACTTTTAAAAAAAAGTTTCCATGTTTGAGACTCTTATTGTGAAAAAATAAAGGAAGTCCTTTGATATCCACTGTGGATGCTGCAGTTGAAGTAGCCTAACGACCACATCTTTATTCAGTAAAACACCTTTTTTCTTATGGTTTAGTCATTAAAGATACCCTCAGAGCCCTCGACTACCATAACAATAGAAACAGTTGGTTCAGGAAACAACAGGGTTCTCTTCCTCTTCTGGAATTAGCCCACTTTTAGTCATTTTTCTGAAATTTAGACTTTAAACTGAAAATAATAATTCAACTTTTGAACTTTCATTTCAAATTTATTCTGAACATATAATTTTGACTTTTTTCCTCAATATTCCATCTGAAATGCTTCTGGGTGGCTCTCATAGGCTGTCATACCTTTATTACTCTTTATTAGTTCATGAAAGGAATAAATATGAGATGCATTTTTTTTCATGATCAGATCCTTCTTTCTATTGGGCATCAAACTGGACTTAACTGCACCAACACTAGGGGGATACAATAATCAGACTTGGCGTCATAAATCATTCATTATGGAAGAAGAAATCTTACCCCACCCCCATTTGAGGTCATTTCCTCAGAAAGAAAGTCTGTAGAAACCCAGACAAAGGCCTTTGGACCATAATCACAGGACAAAGACCTCAGAACAACTGAAGTAAATCCAGATTGACTGGAGCCGAGCGTGGGTCTTCACACAAACACGCTTTTGTTACAGAACCTCGTGCTAATGAAGAGGCTTGAGGCTAGGCCTGATTCAGCGTGGGTAGATGAGGACAAGGCCCTCATTCCCCTTGTAACACACACACACACACACACACACACACACACACACACACACACACACACACACACACACACACACACACAACAATACCAACAGTATCCACATGCTGACCATGGTCGGGAGTCAGAACTGTCACAGGGAGGATGGAACCAGGAAAAACAACGACATTTGGTTTCATTAGTAGATAAAAGAATAAAACCGGTTTCTGAGACCGGGGATCAGCTCCACCTGGTTTTGTTGCCCCTGACCTCGACTCCTAAATCTGCAGGCAGTGGGCCTACGTGAATGTAGCATCTTATGTGCTGCAGCTGTGACAAGCGGAGCTGGGCCTAGCTTCTGAGACCAACGCTTGATCACCAGGTGCCAAAAAGCCACGCCACCTCCGGCCAGGCTCAAGGAGGGCAACCAGCAGTCCCCATTCTAGATGTGGTGGATCTAGATGGATCACCACTTTCATACATTGCAACAATAAGATTAAAACTTTCTTGTATCAGTCAGGGTTTGATTGATTTGAATTAATTTCTGGGATCATCTCAAGATTTCTACATGGAGTTTTGGGTCTAGCTGAGTGCAGCTGGTATCTAGAGGACCCGCTGCTCTAATCCACCAGTTTGACTGCTTATCCAGGTCAGTTTACACCCTGGTCTCCGTAGGAAGGTCCGATGCACGTACGTACTGGCAGAGTCCAGAAGGTCACATGAGGACACGGTCATGGGGACCTTTACAGACCTACATAAGGAACTAGTCTGATAAGACAGCATAGCAACAGAAGGAGTTTTTATATGTAGCACCTTCCAAGATAAAAATCACAAGTTGCTTCAAAAACACAACAACATTTTTAAAAAATAATTTATAAAGATAATAAACAGATAAAAAGGGTTAAAAACAGGGGGCCCAAAAATGACAGAAAACAGAAAAAGACCAGCATTAAAAGGAAAAGGAGGATGAGCAGCTCCCAAAAACCTCAGCAAACAGAAACATCCCCTGAAATGTCCATTTCTGCACAGGTCATTACGGCTGTGAGAGGCAGGTTCTCCTCATCCATTCCTACCATAAAACCACACAACAAATGGGTTTTAGGGATTGTGTAAAAAAACTCAACTGACTGAACAACTATGGGATGGCCTGACTGTCTGGTGCTCCGTCACACACTGACCTCCAACAGCACGAAGTTGGTCGGTAACGTTCCATCCTGTTGCATAAGCAGCTCTCACTCAGGAGGATTTCTGTGAGGCTGCAGGAGACTCCCAAAGGCAAACAAAGCCTGTGGGCTGGAAAAAGCCCCGTCCCTGAAGGCCTGGTAATCCCTCTGATAATTCCTGCCCTCTGATCCTGGTGAGGGTGGGGGAGGGGAACGGCTTTGTTATTGTCCTGAATGATTTTAATAGTCTGGTTGCTTTACACGAGACCTCCATCCTAAATAGGTCAGTGATACAGAAGGGAACCTCCAACCTCTGATGATGGTTAATAACTGTTGACGCCATCTATTAGCTGCTATGATGTTAGCCAGCAACCACTCTGCTGTTGGCTAGTAGCTGCTCAGTGTGTGTCCATCACCATCTATGGTTTAATCTCATTGAGGTGAACAGCTGATAGAAACCAAGGGCTGAGGTAAGCCCATTCAGGTCGCTGATTTGCAGCATTGCTCCGTTGTGTTTGTGTCTTTACAGCAATCCTCATACTAAGCATGCATGTAGCGACAGTGGAGAGGAAAACTCCCTCTTAACGAAGAAGCCTGCAGAAAGGCATCACGGCCAGACTGTGACATATTTAGACCCTGATATCTGTTTCATGGAATGCTTTGAAAAAATTATGAGTATCTCAGTAATCCAAATTAAACGATGAAACTAATCTGAGATAGATTCATTTCATGCAAATCCAGTTATTTCAGCCTTTATGTTACAATTGTGATCAGCAAATGAAAACTATCCATCAACTGTCGACTGCTTATCTGGGGTCGGGTCACAGGCGCAGGAGCCTAAGCTTAATGGCTTAATGAACTGTCCTGAATTGGAATGTTTATTATGTGAAGTGCCTTGAGACGACTCTTGTCGTGATTTGGCGCTAGATGAATAAACTTGAATTGAATTGAATTGAATTCATGCACAGAGGCCTAGACTTCCCTCTCCCCAGCCACTTGAGCCAGCTCCTACGGGGGAATCCTACGGCGTTCCCTGGTTAGCTGAGAGACACAGTCCCTCCAGCGTGTCCTGGGTCTTCCTTTAGGAATTTTCCCGGTTGGACGTGCCCAGAAACATCACATTGAAACTGCTTACGAAATCCCCACATTGAAAAGTTCAATAATCTAAAACAGGGGTGTCAAACTCAAACTTGCACGGGGCCGAAATGAAACTCTGGGACG